TGCCAGGCACTGTTCTAAGCGCCTGACAGATGTAAACTTCCTTAATGCTTACAACAGGTCTGTCAGGTGGCCGTCATTATTATCACCCCCGTTTTACTGATGAGAATACTGAGGCACAGAGAGTTGAAGTCACTTGTAGTTAGTAAATGGCAGGGCTGGGCTTTGAACCCAGGCAGTCCAGCTGCAGAGTCCGTGCTCTTAACCACTAACTCTAAACCGGCTAACAGTTGTTTTCTGGGAAGCAACTGGGAAGCATAGTGCTTAGGGATGTGGCGGAGTCAGGTAGGCCAGGCTGTGACCTGCCTCTGACCCCTACCTGCTGGGTGGCCAAAACAGGCAAACGTCTCTGAACCTCAGCTTTCGCATCTGGAGAATGGACTAATGACATTACTCTTCTTCCTCTTAGAATCCCCAAACCACTTCACAGAGAGCTTTGCGGATTCTAAGAGTTAAGGCAGCACAGTCCTTTGTGCGGTTCAAGCTGATGACACAAAGGTGGTGTCACACCACTAGGAAGCCGTCCCTGTCATCTGGTTAACCACTACCCCCGTCCCCCAGGGTCTTCCCATCTGTGCTATACCTTCGAGGCTCAGATGTCCTGCTCACCCTTATCTGGCCTGGCCCTGGCCAGCTGGCTGGCTGGCCAGGTGTCTGGTGCACTTCCAAACTTGGGGCAGCGATCTGGGTCCAGGCCCTTATCAGTGGTAGGCAGCACAAGGCCTGCAGCTAGGGGACAGCCGGGCTGGCGGGTAGCAATCTGGGTCATGGGCGCACCCTGTACGTCTCCAGCTGAGGTAAAGGCACCTCCGTTTTCCCCTCTTCTTTCTCACTGATGTCTCAGAACCCTGGCAGGAAGGCCCTCCCATTATACACATGGGGTGACTGAGGCCGAGAGACTGGTAGCTGCCAGCCCGTCAGTGGCAGAGAGGCAGCCTGGACCTCTGGATTCTCCAGCTTTGAGGGCCCCTCTGACCATCCACTCCTCGGATGGGCAACCAAGACCACAGTCCCAGCCCCATGGGTGAGACTTTTAGTACCTAAGCCTTAGACGCCCTTGAGGCCACTCAGGATCTGAGGCCTAAGAAAGTGCATGGGCAAGTCCAGAGAAAGAAGAAAGTGAATAAAGATGGAAGAGAAGGCCGGGTGTGGTGGCTCACTCCTGTAATCCCAGCACTTTGGGAGGCGGAAGCAGGAGGATCAACTGAGATCAGGAGTTCGAGAACAGCCTGACCAACATGGAGAAACCCTGTCTCTACTAAAAATATAAAATTAGCCAGGTATGGTGGGCGCCTGTAGTCCCAGCTACTTGGAAGGCTGGGGCAGGAGAATTGCTTGAACCTAGGAGGCGGAGGTTGCAGTGAGCCAAGATTGTGCCATTGCATTCCAGCCTAGGTAACAGAGCAAGACTCCATCCCAAAAAAAAAAAAAAAAAAAAAAAAGATGGAAGAGAAAGAGAAACTTTGGGAGAAGCAGAGACGGAGGAGGTAAAGAGGGAGAGAGAAAAGGTGGGTAACCAGGGTCCTCAGGAGGAAAGCCAGGCCCTGCAGTAGGTCACTACCCCCTCTTTAGGCTCCTGGACTCTTCTTTCCCACCCCGTCACTTGCCCCACCTGCCAAGGCAGGGACCTCTCCCTTTCTCCAGTCTGGTGAGACCCAGTAATCACCACCCTACCTCCAGGACTGCAGGTCACCCATTCCTCAGAAAGCAGGTTCTCCGCACAACCCTTTCTTTTCTTCTTTTGAGATGGAGTCTCACTCTGTTGCCCAGGCTGGAGTGCAGTGGCACGATCTCGGTTAACTGCAACCTCCACCTCCCGGGTTCAGGCGATTCTCCTGCCTCAGCCTCCTGAGGAGCTGGAACTACAGGTGTGTGCCACCACACCCAGCTAATTTTTTTATTTTTATCTTTTTTTATTTTTAGTAGAGACGGGGTTTCACCGTGTTAGCCAGGATGGTCTCAATCTCTTGACCTCATGATCCACCCACCTCGGCCTCCCAAAGTGCTGAGATTACAGGTGTGAGCCACCAAGCTCGACTTTTTTTTTTTAGACAGTTTCACTCTTGTTACACAGGCTGGAGTGCAATGGCGCGATCTCGGCTCACCGCAACCTCCGCCTCCTGGGTTCAAGCAATTCTCCTGCCTCAGCCTCTTGAGTAGCTGGGATTACAGGCGCCCACCACCATGCCCAGCTAATTTTTATATTTTTAGTAGAGACAGGGTTTCACCATGTTGGCCAGGCTGGTCTCAACCTACTGACCTCGGGAGATTCGCCTACCTTGGCCTCTCAAAGTGTTGGGATTACAGGCGTGAGCCACTGTGCCCAGCCTGCTCAGCCCCTTCTGTATCCTGCTCCCCACCCCGTGCCCGCAAGTGGCCTTTTCCCACCTCGCTCAGTCCACCTGTGCAGCTCTGCCAAGCCATGCCTCACATCTGGGCTCCCAGCCCTTCAAATCTCACCGGTGCTTTAGGGCCAGCTCCAGTGACTGCCTCCTCCAGGGTCTCTCCTGCCCCTGGGAGCCGCCAATGGGTCCTGCTCTTCCTCCTGCCATGCAGATCCTTGGCACTCAGCACATTCGGCCCCTGGGGTCCACATCACCTCGGAAGCACTGAGGCTGCCCCGTATTCCTGGTTTGCCTCCCTGTCAGGGCTAGAAGCTTCTTGAGAGCAGTAATGGGCCTCGCTCAGCTCAGCACCCTTCCCTTGAGCCCCCAGTGCTCAGCACGCCAGGCACAGAGTGAGAACCTTTGTTGGCCCAACCCAATTCCCTGCCACCACAATGCCCTGCGCGTCAGTGGGCGAGAGGGAAAGGAGTCACCTCCACACCCAGTCTGGGGCCACCTTAGGTGACCCTGTCCTCCCCTTGGGCCTGCCCTCACATTCCTGGGAAGGGCCACCGTCTCTCTGCTAGGGACACAACTAAGGAAACGGAGCCCCAGAGCTCAGAGGCCTCTTGGCTGGGGCCTAGTCTTCCTGGCTCCCCAGTCCCAGAGCCCAAGCCTGCAATAGGGAGCCATTCTTACAGTCATTCAGCAAATGTTTATTGAGTGCCTACTATGTGCGGAGTGGGGAATGCTGCTACCACTACTACTACTATGCTAGGAGTGGGGAATTTCATGGGGATTGAGACGTGAACACAAATCAATCAAGAAACCATTTTGTTGTTGTTGCTGTTTGTTTGTTTTCCTCTGAGAAAGTCTCAGTCTGTCACCCGGGCTGGAGTGCAGTGGTGCCATCTCAGCTCACTGCCACCTCTGCCTCCCAGGCTCAGGTGATCCTCCCACCTCAGCCTCTCAAGTAGCTGGGACTACAGTTGTGCACCAAAATACCCAGCTAATTTTTGTATTTTTGTAGACACGTGGTTTCACCATGTTGCCCAGTTGGTCTCAGACTTCTGAGCTCAAGCAATCTGCCCACCCCAGCCTCCCAAAGTGTTAGGATTACAGGTGTGAACCACCACAGCCAACCAAGAAACCATTTAAAAATTAGTCAGGCATGGTGGTGTGTGCCTGTGGTCCCAGCTACTCTGGAGGCTGAGGTGGGAGGATCACTTGAGTCCAGGAGTTTGAGGCTGCTGTGAGCTGTAATCATGCCACTGTACTCCAGCCTGGGTAACATAGGGAGACCCTCTCTCAAAAAAAGAAGGAGGAGGAGGCAGAGAGGAAGAAGAAGAAGAAAGAAAGAAACCAGCCCAAGCTGAGGCAGTGAGACCCTGTTTCTACCAAAAAAAAAAAAAAAAAAAAAAAAAAATTTATTTTTTTTAAATTTGCTGGGCACTGTGTCCTGCCTGTAATTCCAGTTACTCAGGAGGCTGAGTCAGGAGGATCCCCTGGGCCCAGGAGTTCAAGGCTGCAGTGACTATGATCATGCCACTGCACTCTAAGCCTGGGTGACACAGTGAGACCCTGTTGCAAAAAAGGAGAGAGAAAGAGAAAGAAAGAAAGAAAGAGAGAAAGGAAGGAAGGAAGGAAGGAAGGAAGGAAGGGCCGGGCGCAGTGGCTCACGCCTGTAATCCCAGCACTTTGGGAGGCCGAGGCAGGTGGATCACCTGAGGTCAGGAGTTCGAGACCAGTCTGACCAATATGGTGAAACTCTGTCTCTTAAAAAAAAAAAAAAGAAAGAAAGAAAGAAAGAGAAAGGAAGGAAGGAAAAAGAAAGAGAAAGGAAGGATGGGAGGGAAAGAAAGGAAGAAAGAAAGAAGAAAGGAGAAAAAAAGAAGGAAGAAAAGAAACCAGAAAATGACAGATTGGGTCAGGGTGGTCAGGGAGGGCCTCTGAAGAGCAGACATCTGGGCCAAGACGCGCGAAGGGCTGAGGTGTTGTGGGAGGGTGTCCAGGATGTGGACAGCTGGATGTGCAAAGACCCTGGGACAGGAAAGGGCTTGGCAAGTTCTAGGAGCCACAGGAGGTCACCATATGGGCAAGTTGGCGAGAGAGCAAGAGAGACAGGGTCCAAGATGGGGCCAGGGAGAGAAGTAGGACCACATCATCCAGACCTGTGCCTGCTCCCAAGGATGCTGCAGCTGTGCCCAGGGGGCAGCCGCTATTTCTAAGAGAAGAGCATGCTTTTAGAGCCCCTCAGGGGTGCTAAGCCCCCTGAAGAAGGGACCAGTCATGTACCCTGGCATTGCCTGAGTCCCAGGGGTGGGTAGGAAGAGGCCAGGTGAAGACTGGAGAATGAAGGAAGAGTTGGACCTGAAGGTCACCTGCCCGTCTTCCCCAAACATCCTTTGCTTGTGCCAGCCAGACTTACTCTTCCCTGCACTGCCCCTCTCTCATGGCCCCTGCCCACCTACCTCACACCTGCAAATCCAGCTCCTTCTCATTCCCTCCACACTTCTAACCCTACCACCTCCAACACGTGGATCCCAGCCTCTGCCACATGGACCTGGAGACTCTGGAACGTGCCCCACTCAGCCTGTGCCCTCTGCTGCAGGGACCCGTGGTGCGGGTTATGCTGGTGGCTTGGATCACCGTGGACAACTGGACACTCGGGACTGCGCCATGGATGAGCTGCAGGTGGGTGTTTCCTGGCGTCGCAGCACTCCCGCCCGGAGGCTCTGGGGACCCGGCCCTAGCCTCCTATCTTCCTGGGGGGTTGAAGAGCCCCTCACAGCCCAGGCTCCATGACCACTTCCCGCAGGATGATTACGAAGACGTGATGGAGGAGAATCTGGAGCAGGAGGAATATGAAGACCCAGGAGTCCTCGAGCCTCAGGTGGAGGAGCCAGCAAGTGAGCTCCCTCTCCCTCCCTCTGCCGGGATGAGCTGCTGAACCCTAGACAGGAGCAAGAGGGGCACTTGTCTCCCCTTCTCCACAGTCCTCCTCCCAAACCCCACAGGCAGCTCTCCCCACAATTCCAGCTGATTGAAGGATAAACAATTTTGTTTGAAATGACCACAGGAGGTGGCTGGGAGAGCAGGGCAGTCACCCATCCAGTGCCCCTGCGATGTGTGAGAAGGGCGGGCAGCCCGTCTGGGACAAGGGCGCTAGCCCACATGCCATCTGTGCCCATCCAATGCCAGCTTCCAGGCCAGAAACCGGGCCTGTTCTTGGGGAAAGAGGTCCTGAGAAACGAGGGGCTTGTGGGGACCCTCCTGGGCAGAAGGACACCAGGAACCACCCTGCCTTCCCAGGCCAGCCCAAGGTCTTAGGTGGGAAGCCCCAGGCAGGACCTGTTTACTGTCAACAGGACTTAAGTGCTGGCAATTGGGATTGAAGTTAAGAGGCCCCTCTGGGAAATGAGGGCTGGGGGTGGGGCGGGGGAATATAAGGGGCTGACCCACCCTGGTTCCTGAGCTCAGTGAGACACTGCGCTGGCTGGCGGGCTCATAGAAGCAGGTGGGAAGAGGGAACAGAGTCTGGTCTGGTCTCAGAGCAGCAGGGGAGGGAGGAGGTCCTTGGAGAGTCCTGAAAATTGCCATTCATGGCTCTGCAGTCACCTTTGAGAGGTCCCTTCACTTCATCACTGTGGAGGGGCTCGCCCCCGTCCCACCCCGGCTGAGTCTCAGGTGTCCTCCACAAGGCTCAGATGGGGAGCCCCAGGCTGGTCCCAGCACACGTGTGGGGAGCCCCATTCTTCTGAGTGGCCAGTGTGAGATAGGGCACCAGAGGCCCAGCCAGGGGCACTGAGAAAGAGGGGTCACCCGCCCAAGCCTGGGTCTCCAAGGCTCACGGTGGGTGGTGAAGGGCCTCGGGCGGGGGGACAGTCAGGGCGACACTGACCGACCTCCGGTTTTCAGCTCACGACACCGAGGCAACAGCCACAGACTACCACACCACATCACCACGCCCTGGTACCCACGAGGTGAGGACCCCAGTCTCCCCCTTGTCTCTCATGCTGGCTCTGGGACCCACCATTTGACCAGGGGAAGAGAAGAGCGAGGGGATGGGGGCAGCTTCAGGCTGGGGGAGACTCTGCAGCAGACAGAGGAGTGAAGGTCCCAGGAAATAGGTGGGGGGGAAGAGGACACCCCACTGATGGTGAGGCCTGGGCCTCCTTCCAGGAGCACCATGGGCAGAGATAACCTGACTGCCCAGGGCCGAGTCTCCAGGCCCTCAGGCCCTGTCTGCTGTCACTGGGGAAGCATAGAATTAAAGACTTGTTCTCCTCTGCCCAGGCCCCCCAGTTCCCCGCTGGGTGCAGGACCGTCTAGCTGGTTAGGAATTCGGGCCAGCCCTCAGCTATGGCCCTTGGAGCGGTCACCTGGCCCCAGGGACATGCTGAGGCGCATCCATGCAACAATCACAGAGGCTGGAGATCGACCGATGACGCCAAAGTCCCCTTTAGCCTCAGCCTGCCAGGCCCCCGCTTCCCACTCCTTTCCCTCCCCGTGGCCTCTCCAGCATCCCTTTGGGTCGGGGTTCTCCAAATACCTTCTGCTATGGGGTGAGGGCCTGGCCAAGAAGTTGGGACATAGGGGAGGGGTGTGAGCTGTATCTAGGGACCCCCTCAGCACAGGGATCCAAGCCCCACAAGCATGAGTCTCTTTCGAGAGCAGCTGGGTGCCCACTCTGCCCTGGGGTTTCAGGCTCCCCACGGCCATGCCCGGGGCCTGATGGACTAACTCAGGTCTACGGGGCCACAGGTCTATGTGGAGCTGCAGGAACTGGTGATGGATGAAAGGAACCAGGAGCTGAGATGGATGGAGGCGGTGCGCTGGGTGCGACTGGAGGAGAACCTGGGAGAGAACGGGGCCTGGGGCCGCCCGCACCTCTCTCACCTCACCTTCTGGAGCCTCCTGGAGCTGCACAGAGTCTTCACCAAGGGTGAGCCTCCTGGGCCCCTCTGGCCCCCTGTAGGTGAGGCTTGTCGTTAGCGGCTGTGGCCCAGCCTCCCAGCTCACTCCTCCACTGCCTGCAGGTACTGTTCTCCTGGACCTGCAAGAGACCTCCCTGGCTGGAGTGGCCAACCAACTGCTGGACAGGTTTATCTATGAGGAGCAGATCCGGCCTCAGGACCGAGAGACGCTGCTCCGGGCCCTGCTGCTCATACACAGGTGCGCTGCCTGCCAGGGCCTGGATTCCATATCCCACAGCCCACTTCTCCAGCCCACTTGCTCCAAGGTTTCCTCTGGGGCCCAGGGGCCCACTTTTCCTCTACTATGGCTCCCACCTCTGACACCTTGAAAGGGATGGCCATGTCCCATGCTGAGTTGGGGCTGCTGGTCCACAGGTGGACAGATCCTCAAGGCCCTTTTCTCTAGACACTCTTTTGATCCTGCCTAGTCCTTCCAGACAGAGGCACCCACTCACATCTGCATCATCCTTGGAGAGGAGGCTCTGATTCGCCTTCCGTCCCAGGCTCTCTCTGGTCTGGTCTGGAACATCCCAAATATCTACCTTTGATGTCTACCCTAGTCACTTGATGCTCACCCTTGATCCCTCCCAGCACTGAGAGCTCAACCTGAGCAGCTTACTCAGCCCACGTCCCCTGTCCGTCCTGCAGCCATGCTGGAGAGCTTGAGGTCCTAGGGGGCGTGAAGCCTGCAGTCCTGACGCGCTCTGGGGATCCTTCACAGCCTCTGCTCCCCCAACACCCCTCACTGGAGACGCAGCTCTTCTGTGAGCAGGTGAGTCAGTTATAGGGTCAGGGTCAGGGTGGGGGCAAGGAGAGAGCTTCCTCAAACACCAGCAGAGGTCCTGATCAATTGGCCACAAGCAGGGGACCAGAAGCACCCCTGCGCCTGGGGTGTGCCAGGAGAGTTGGGAAGCCCCCCCACCTGAACATGGTGGCAAGCAAGAATGGGAAGGGAAGGAAGGGGAGGAGGCCCAGGTCTCCCAGGATCAGAGGAGACCAAGGACTCCCTTCACCACCCTCCTTCCCACAGGGAGACGGGGACGCAGAAGGGCGGGCACCATCTGGAATTCTGGAAAAGATTCCCCCGGATTCAGAGGCCACGCTGGTGCTAGTGGGTAAGAACAGGTGTCTCTACTCTCAGCCCTCCACACCCCTTGGGTCCTGGCCCAGCCTGTCTTTCCCTCAGCCTGGAGCCCGGCAGCCCCATCTCTTCAGCACACCCACCCTGGGCCCCTCTGCCTGGCCTGATCCTGTTGTCCCCAACAGGCCGTGCCGCCTTCCTGGAGCGGCCCGTGCTGGGCTTTGTGCGGCTGCAGGAGGCGGCGGAGCTGGAGGCGGTGGAGCTGCCCGTGCCCGTGCGCTTCCTCTTTGTGTTGCTGGGACCCGAGGACCCCCACATTGATTACACCCAGCTCGGCCGGGCTGCTGCTACCCTCATGTCGGAGAGGGTGAGGAAGGGCCGGAGAAGGCTGGGTTGGAGAAGCTCGGAGCTGGCCAGTGGCTGAGGCCCGCTCTCCAGCCTGACCTGGCTTGCTCTACGTTCACTGCTTTGACCCATTCAGCCTAATCCAGCTGCTGCTATCCCACCTGGCGGGCAGTCAGTGTGTGCGGTCCGGCCCAGCTCTGTCTGCCCTGGCCTGGTCTCGTGTGGTTGGCTTTGGCCTGGCTGGGTCCAGTCCAGTCCACTCTGACCTGGTTCCGCCTGGTCAGGTCTGGCTTGGTCGGGCCTGGGCAGCTGTAGTTACTTCTAATCTGCTTAACCCACCAGGTTAGCTGCCGTTCCTTCTGCTTTCCCCACCCAGGGCCGCTGTCTGTCCCCCCAGAGCCCTTTCTTAGTGGGGAGTAGGGGTGGGAGGGGTCAGGAAAAGCAGTTCCTGGCAATGGGAGCTGCATGAGGGGCTTCTGGTCCCTGGAGGCCCCGGCCGTGGGCTCCGGGGTCCTTTCCCTCCGTAGGTCCGGGCAGCCCTGACCCTCTCTCCTGCCCCTAGGTGTTCCGCGTCGATGCCTACGTGGCTCAGAGCCGAGGGGAACTGGTGCGCTCCTTGGAGGGCTTCCTGGACTGCAGCCTCGTGCTGCCTCCCACAGACGCCCCCTCCGAGCAGGCCCTGCTCAGTCTAGTGCCCGTGCAGAGGGAGCTTCTTCGAAGGCGCTACCAGCTCAGCCCTGCCAAGCCAGACTCCAGCTTCTACAAGGGCCTAGGTACCTGCCCTGCCCAGCCAAGACTTTCTGAGCCCCCATTGGCCCCCAGATGCCTCAGCACAGCCTCTCTCTCCCATCATGTGTTCTTCTTAACTGCTTCTCCGCCCACATCGCCCAGCCTTCATGGCCACCCCATTCCCATCAGACACTCTCCGCTATGCCTTCCAGTCCCCTCTCCCCTCACCTCCTCCAGCTACTCCCTCTGACCTTGCTCTTATCCTCCACCACAGACCTAAATGGGGGCCTAGGGGGCCCCGAGGGCCCAGACGATCCTCTGCAGCAGACAGGCCAGTTCTTCGGGGGCCTGGTGCGTGACATCCGGCGCCGCTACCCCTATTACCTGAGTGACATCACAGATGCGTTGAGCCCCCAGGTCCTGGCTGCCGTCATCTTCATCTACTTTGCTGCCCTGTCACCTGCCATCACCTTCGGTGGCCTCCTGGGTTAGTACCGATACCTGTCTCCCTAACTCTCACCTGTGACCCTCTGGCCTCTGTCTCGGTCCTGACTTATGACTCTATCTGATCCTCTAGACCCCTGCATTAGCCCACCCTTGACTTGCTCTATGAGCCCCTGGAAATGATCTCCTGACCTTGACCCCACTGTGACCTCTACCCACAGGAGAAAAGACCCGAAACCAGATGGGTGTGTCGGAGCTGCTGATCTCCACTGCAGTGCAGGGCATTCTCTTCGCCCTGCTGGGGGCTCAGCCCCTGCTCGTGGTCGGCTTCTCAGGACCACTGCTGGTGTTTGAGGAAGCCTTCTTCTCGGTAGCTCTGTCCTCGCCCCACGGACCCTGACCCTGTCATGTCCCCTGCCCCACCTGCCTCATGCCCAGTGCCTTGCCCCGAGGCCCTCTTTGTCTGACTGACTTCCTCTGGCCACCTGCAGTTCTGTGAGATCAATGGTCTGGAGTACATCGTGGGCCGCGTGTGGATCGGCTTCTGGCTCATCCTGTTGGTGGTGTTAGTGGTGGCCTTCGAGGGCAGCTTCCTGGTCCGCTTCATCTCCCGCTACACCCAGGAGATCTTCTCCTTCCTCATCTCCCTCATCTTCATCTATGAGACCTTCTCCAAGCTGATCAAGGTGGGGGCTTATGGGGATGTTAACACATATGGGAGGCTGTGTATGTGACTGGGCCTGGGCCACTGGCCGGGCATGGTGCCCATGCCCATAATCCCAGCACTTTGGGAGGCCAAGGCGAGTGGATCACCTGAGGTCAGGAGTTCAAGACCAGCCAGGTCAACACAGTGAAACCCCATCTCTATTAAACATACAAAAATCGCAGGTGCAATGGCTCATGCCTGTAATCCCAGCACTTTGACAGGCCAAGGCAGGCAGATCATAAGGTCAAGGGATCGAGACCATCCTGGCCAACATAGTGAAACTCCGTCTCTACTAAAAATACAAAAATTAGCTGGGCGTGGTGACAGGCGCCTGTAGTCCCAGCTACTTGGGAGGCTGAGGCAGGAGAATTGCTGGAATCTGAGAGGCAGAGGTTGCAGTGAGCCGAGATCGCACCACTGCATTCCATCCTGGGAGACAGAGTGAGACTCTTTCTCCAAAAAAAATGTCAGCCAGGCGTGGTGGCATGCACCTGTAATCTCAGCTAGTTGAGAGGTTGAGGCAGGAGAGTTGCTTGAACCCGGGAGGCAGAGGTTTCAGTGAGCTGAGATCGAGCCATTGCACTCCAGCCTGGGTGACACACCAAGACTTCGTCTCAAAAAAACAAAAAGACTGAGCCAGTGTGTGTCCTCACACATGTCTCTGCAGCATTTGTGTGGCTTTGCTTCCACCTGTGTAGATAACCATGTGACTGTGCATATGACTGTGGCCGCCTATGTGTCTGTGTGGTCACATGTCTGCACACAGGACTGTGCAGCTGTGTTAACTGTGACCACGTATGTGTTGGCACCTGCTGCCTGTGGCCAGCATTCTTGCTGAGGCATGGGAGGGTGTCTCTGTGTGCACATGTCCAGTTCGTGATCATACATGATGTGAGCAGTGGGTAAGTATGGGCGTGATGCTGAGCATGTGAAAGTACATGCACACGGAGAGCAGGGGGGACTCTGGAGCCTCTGAAGTCCCCCACTCTCTCTCCTGCGCTTGTCCTCAAGAGAGGGCTTGCGGATGGAGGGCCCAGCTCCTTGGCTTGCCTTCCGTCATCTTAAGCTCTGCATATTATATGGAAGAGTGGACCCTAAGTGTTGTCCCTTGATTTTGTTGGGTGGACGGTCTTTCTGTGTCTAGATATATATATATTTTTTTTGAGACGGAGTTTCGCTCTTGTTACCCAGGCTGGAGTGCAATGGCGCCATCTCAGCTCACCGCAACCTCCGCCTCCTGGGTTCAGGCAATTCTCCTGCCTCAGCCTCCTGAGTACCTGGGATTACAGGCACGTGCCACCAAGCCCAGCTAATTTTTTTGTATTTTTAGTAGAGACGGGGTTTCACCATGTTAACCAGGATGGTCTCGATCTCTTGACCTCGTGATCCACCCGCCTCAGCCTCCCAAAGTGCTGGGATTACAGGCTTGAGCCACCGCGCCCGGCTGTGTCTAGATCTTTTAACCTCTTTTTAGACACTTTCCTGACCCTTGTTTCCTCACCTCCAGCCTTATGTCTCCCAGGTCCTGGTATGCATATGTGCATACACACGCACTCATTGCTGCCCATGACTCTCCCCACCCAAAGCTAGGCTGTCTTCCTGAAAACCAAGCTGTAGAATCCTGTTTCTCCTCTGTTATCATGTCAATTGAGGAAGAAGACAGACGGATGGATGGATGAATAGAGAGATAATGGATGGATGACTGATTGATGGTTAATGAATGGATGGATGATGGATAGATGAATGGATGGATGCATGGATGGATAAATGCGTGGATAGATAGATGATAGATAGGTGGATGGATGGGTAGATGGATAATGAATGAATGGATGAATAATCGGTGGATGATCAATGGATAACGGATGGAGAGGTGGATAAATGGATGGATGATTAATTCATAGATGGCTGAATGAATGGATGGTAGTGCCAGGTAGAGTTAGCTGGTGGTACTTTCCAGCCCAAGCCAAGGCTGGAGAGAACAGAATGCCTTGGTTTTCTGCTGCAGATCTTCCAGGACCACCCACTACGGAAGAATTATGACTACAACGTGACGACAGAGCCCAAACCTCAGGGCCCCCTGCCCAACACAGCCCTCCTCTCCCTTGTGCTCATGGCTGGTACCTTCTTATTTGCCATGATGCTGCGCAAGTTCAAGAACAGCTCCTACTTCCCGGGCAAGGTCAGCACACCCTCCCTCCTCACCTGTCCTTGCCAACACTGTCCTATCCCACCCCAGCTTCCCCAGTGCCCTTAGCTTCCCTTCTTTATCAGATTCCCATTCCCAGTTCCAAACTCCCCTGGCCCCGGCTTACCCAGGGTTTAATTCTGCTGGGAAGCCCCTCTCCCTTTCATGGCATGCCCAGCATGAGAACTGCTGTGGGAAGAAGAAAGAAGGCAGACGTGGCTGAGGTGTAGGTCAGGGCATGAGATGCCGGTGCACCCCCTGGAAGAGCAGGGCCCACCGGGTGAATACAGGGCAGGAGGGAGGCAGGAGCGGGAGTGACTGGGCACTGACCTCTGGTCCTTTCACCTGCCTCCAGCTACGTCGAGTCATCGGGGACTTCGGGGTCCCCATCTCCATCCTGATCATGGTCCTGGTGGATTTCTTCATTGAAGATACCTACACTCAGGTGACCCCTCCTCCCAGCCCTCAGACCATGATATGCACCAGATCCTCATTTCTACCCCCCAGCATGCCCCTTAATAGCTCTCCCCAACCTGAAGCCAGCTAGAACTACCTCTACGCTATCCCTGCCTCCTCTGGGAGCCCCATGTACTTCTTATAGCCCCAGAGGACCCCCTCTGGCCAAAGCAAGTGGCTGGGCCAGGTTGCTGCCTTCATTCCTTAACCCAGAACAGTAGGAAGAAATATTCTTTGAAGCCAGGCAGATCTAGGCATGAATTCCAGCTCTGCCATCAATCAGCTGTGTGATGTGGGGCAAGCTACATAACCTCTCTGATTCTCTGTCCTCATCTATAAAGTGGGGAGCGAGCAGATGGATGTAAAGGGATTAGTGCAATGACTAGGTACAGAGCAAGTACTCAATGTAACTAAGTTCCCAAGTGCCCCCAACCCAACTGCCCAACCTCCAGGACTCTGGCTCCTCCTGCTCCCACCCTTCCCCATCCCCTTGCCCCTGACATTCTTACCTTCTATCCCTTCCCACAGAAACTCTCAGTGCCTGATGGCCTTCAGGTGTCCAACTCCTCAGCCCGGGGCTGGGTCATCCACCCGCTGGGCTTGCGTTCCCACTTTCCCATCTGGATGATGTTTGCCTCCGCCCTGCCTGCTCTGCTGGTCTTCATCCTCATATTCCTGGAGTCTCAGATCACCACGTGAGTGACAGGGTGGGGACTGGGCCTGGGAGGGTGGGAGCTTTCCCTGGCAGTCTCCCAGGCAGGCAAGAGACCCAGGACTGCAAGCTAGTCCTGGTGGGCGTGCGGCCTTCCCGACTGGCAGGAATGGTGACTAGCCAGGGGCAGGTCCAGGTTTTGTGGGACCTGAGGTTGTATAATTTGGAGAGCTCTTTTTAAGGAAAAAAACAATGTGTCGGGTATGGTGGCTCATGCCTGTAATCCCAGCACTTTTCGGGGCCAAGGTGGGTAGATTATGTGAGGTCAGGAGTTTGAGACCAGCCTGACCAGTATGGTAAAAATCCCATTTCTACTAAAAACACACAAATTAGCCTGGTGTGGTGGCGTGTGCCTGTAGTCCCATCTACTCAGGAGGCTGAAGCAGGAAAATCACTTGAACCCGCGAGGCAGAGGTTGCAGTGAGCTGAGATTGCACCACTGCACTCCAGCCTGGGCAACAGAGCAAGACTCCAAAAAAAAAAAAAAAAAGAAAGAAAGAAAAAAAAGAATGCAAAATGACAACTACAAAATTAGGTGCTAGATCTTGGAGGGGCCCGTACAAGCAAAGCTCCCTGAAGCTGAAGCTTCATTGCCTGCGAATCAGCCTTGGATGTTCTGAAGACATTTCTGCTCTTAAGAGTCTGGATTCTCAAGATAGGGTGGAGGGAGGAGAGCCAGGAACTCAAAGAGGGAGGGGCACAGAAGACAAAACGGAGCTATGAGGACACCAAGTATGGAGAAGGAAGGAGGGGTGGAGGAGGCAGGGGAGAACCCCGCTTACCCCTCACCTTCCCCAACCCCAGGCTGATTGTCAGCAAACCCGAGCGCAAGATGGTCAAGGGCTCTGGATTCCACCTGGACCTGCTGCTGGTAGTGGGCATGGGCGGGGTGGCCGCCCTCTTTGGGATGCCCTGGCTCAGTGCCACCACTGTGCGTTCCGTCACCCACGCCAATGCCCTCACTGTCATGGGCAAAGCCAGCACCCCAGGGGCTGCAGCCCAGATCCAGGAGGTCAAAGAGCAGCGGATCAGCGGGCTCCTGGTCTCTGTGCTTGTGGGTGAGTGAAAGCTGGGTCGGCTCTCCACCATCCTCCTGCCCCAGCCCAGTCCCCCACCCCCGATCCCTTCCCCTTCCCTTTCGGACCCAGCTGATTCTCCAGCCTCGCCCAACCTGCACCACTTCCCCTCATCTCCCCAGCATCTGCTACTCATGAGGGCATCCTGGAGGAAAGGCCATGACACTGAGCTGGGCGTCTGAGCAGGAAGGAAGGGAGCTCCACTCCCGAGCCTGCTCCAGACCAGACCCCACCTCTGCCTTACCCAACGGAAGTCCAGTGAACTGTGGGTTCCGGCCCTGCCCTGCTGCTAATCCAGTATCCCTCCTTGTCTCTGGGTCTCAGTTTCCCTGTCTGCACAGTTGGAGGGTTCCTCAGATGTCCCCAAGTTCTCTTCCAGCTCAGCTGCTCCATGACTGATACAAGGGGCGGTGCCCCAGGCATAGTATGGAGGTGTGGGGAGAAGAAAGAAGGGTCACTGGGGTTGACGTCAGTTCTGGAAGAGCCAAAAGTCGAGCTGGGTTCGGTGTGGGCAGTGCCATGGCTGCAGATAGAATGGTTCGGGGAAATTTCTTAAAGGAGGCAAAGTTGATGGCATTCTGGACTGGGGTGAGGAGAAAGATGCCTGTCTTTGACCTCTGTGACCTCCATTAGGGTAAGGGAGTGGGCTTAAGTCAAGGCAGGAGGGGTTTGACTTTCTGCAGCTGTGTGGCCTTAGGCAGGTTGTTTACCTCTCTGAGCCTGTTTTCTCATCTGTAAAATTGGGGTAATACCTCTAAAAAGGACCCATAGAGGCTGGGTGCGGTGGCTCATGCCTATAGCAGGTAGGTCACTTGAGGTCAGGAGTTGGAGACCTCACGATGGTCCACGAGTGAAACATGGTGAAACCACGTCTCTTAAAAATACAAAATTGGCCGGGCGCGGTGGCTCAAGCCTGTAATCCCAGCACTTTGGGAGGCCGAGGCGGGTGGATCACAAGGTCAAGAGATCGAGACCATCCTGGTCAACATGATAAAACCCCGTCTCTACTAAAAACACAAAAAATTAGCTGGGCATGGTGGCGTGTGCTTGTAATCCCAGCTACTCAGGAGGCTGAGGCAGGAGAATTGCCTGAGCCCAGGAGGCAGAGGTTGCGGTGAGCCGAGATCGCGCCATTGCACTCCAGCCTGGGTAACAAGAGCGAAACTCCATCTCAAAAAAAAAAAAAAAAAAAAAAAATACAAAATTAGCCAGGTGTGGTGGCGCATGCCTGTGGTCCCAGCTACTTGGGAGGCTGATGCAGGAGAATTGCTTGAGGCTGGGAGTCAGAGGTTGCAGTGAGCCAAGATCATGCCACTACACTCCAGCCTGAGCGACAGAGCAAGACTCCTTCTCAAAAGCAAAAAATGACACATAGAAATGGCTCCAGGTCAGGCGTGGGATCCCAACATTTTGGGAGGCCAAGACAGGAAAATCACTTGAGCCCAGGAGTTCAAGACTAGCCTGGACAACATAGTGAGACCTTGTCTCTACTAAAAATTAAAGAAAAAAAAAAAAAGTCCTAGCAACTAGGGAGGCTGAGGCGGGAGGATCACTTGAGACCAGGAGGTCAAGGCTGTTGTAGGCAAGATCACACCACTGCACTCCAGCCTGGGCAACAGAGCAAAATCCTGTCAAAAAAAAAAAAGAAGAAGAAGAAAGCAAGCAAGCAAGCAGAAAGGAAGGAAGGAAGGAGGGAAAAGAAAGAAAAGAAACAGCTCCATATGGTGCCTGTGTTTTATTCCCAGCCCCAGATAGGGGCCTGAGCCCCACCGGCACCAGGGCTCAGGCAGCCTGGGCTGAGCGTGCGCTTCCCACAGGCCTGTCCATCCTCATGGAACCCATCCTGTCCCGCATCCCGCTGGCTGTGCTCTTTGGCATCTTCCTCTACATGGGGGTCACTTCGCTCAGCGGCATCCAGCTCTTTGACCGCATCCTGCTTCTGCTCAAGCCACCCAAGTACCACCCGGATGTGCCCTACGTCAAGCGGGTACAGGGCCCTTTTCTGGCTGCCCAGCCTGGGGTGGTGGAGGGTGCCAAGCACAGTGGACACTGACCCCAGCCTTCGCCTGCAGGTGAAGACCTGGCGCATGCACTTGTTCACGGGCATCCAGCTCATCTGCCTGGTGGTGCTGTGGGTGGTGAAGTCCACGCCAGCCTCATTGGCCCTGCCTTTCGTCCTCATCCTCACCGTGCCCCTGCGGCGCGTCCTGCTGCCGCTCATCTTCAGGAACCTGGAGCTTCAGTGTGTGAGTGGCTGCCTGGGCCTGGGGCACAAGAGCTGGGAGCCTGTGAGGGGCGAGTCTCAGAGCTAGGACAGGCAGGACAGCGTCGAGGGTAGTCTGGGGCTAGGGCTGGGGTCCAGCTTCTGGCCTGCCGTGTCCTGGCATACACTCTGGAGCACGGGGTCTCGTTTCTCTGTGCCTTCATTTTGCTCACCTGTAAAGGGAGGAATGACGGCAGGGCTGGGGAGAGGATCGAGAGGCGGACAGGGTGTACTGCGCGTGAGCCGTCGGGACCCCTGAGCAGCAAGTCCTGCCGTCTGCCAAGTCATCTGGGACAGAGTCACTCCTCTAATAGAATTCTTCCACAGCGTGACTCAGGTCACAGTGGGACCGCCCTGGTGAAGAGGTCCCCTGCTCCCCCTCTTCAGTGGCTCCCCTGCCAGGGTCCACATCCCCAGGGTTGCCTCCTGCTTTGACAGTCACTCATTCAGGCCGGTCCTAGAGGCTGGGGGGATAGAATAGGACAGGTCCAAGGTTCTTCCCAAGAGCTCCACCCAATCCCCACTCCAGAGGTGCCTTTCATGCCCGGGGAGGGCTTACCTGGCCCCAGGGTCCCTCACCCTCTCTCCATCCTGTCGCTCCCCTCCAGCTGGATGCTGATGATGCCAAAGCAGCCTTTGATGAGGAGGACGGTCAGGATGAATACGACGAAGTGCCCATGCCTGTGTGAGGGGCAGTTCCAGGCCCTAGACCCTCCTCCGCCATTCCAGTTCCCCACCTTCCCAGGAAAAGCAGAAGTTCATGGGCACCTCATGGAGTCCAGACTCCTCCTGGAGCAGCAGCTGAGGCCCCAGGGCTGTGGTGGGTGGAGAAGGAAGGGGTGTCCAGGAGACCCACCACAAAGGGCAGCCTGGCTTTTCTGGCTGGAGATGGCTGATGGAGCCCACATTAGGTGTTTGCTCCACAGTCCCTCCTGTTGCCACACTTTCACTGGGGACCCCACGCCGGAAGACAGATCTGAGCCCTACCTCTTCCCAGCACAGGCAGGGGTAGAAGCAAAGGTGGGAGGTGGGTGGGGGTGGTGCTTGCTGTGTGACCTTGGGCAAGTTCCTTGACCTTTGCGGCCTATACTTCCTCTTCTGTAAAATGGGTATATTGATGATAATATCCACATTACAGGATGGTCACTGAGGACCAAAGACACATGTAAAACAGGGCTTTGTACATTCCTCAGGGACTATTCTACAGCAGTCATCATTTGTCTTTGAACCTGACCAAGGTCACATGACTGGGGTTTGAACTGAGCCGGACAGCTGGGATTTGAACCAGGCCTTCTGACTTCGAGGTCAGAGCTCTGTCCTGTGTCAGTCATTCGTCCACCTTCCCTTCCCTACTCTGCTCCCAGCCCCTTCCTTGAGACCCTCTTCTCTGGGCCCAGAGAGAGCATCCTGGTGAGGATGATCAGGGATTGGGGCTGGGACTCAGGCCTCCTAAGTGTTTGGTTCCTCCCTCCAAGCACTCATTAGTTCACTTATTCATTCATTCCACAAGCATTTACTGAGGGCCCTGGACCCACTGGACTCTGAGAGGACTGAGATAAGCCCTGCCCTGGGGTGTGGGTGGGGGGCAAGGTACAGTTGATTTTAGATTTGGATAGGGAGTGGGAGAAGGTGGGAAAGTAGGGGTGGGACAGGGAGGGGGTTTGTAATTTATTAATTGTGTATTTTCTAAGAGTTTTCATCATACTTTGGCTTCACACACACCTCCAGGCCCCTTGTTTGAGATCCACTATCCCCAACCCCATCTAAACTGAATCCTGGGGAGAACCCAGATCTGACCAATTGGGGTGGGAGCAGCGGGTTCTCCAGAACATGGGCAAATTTATTTTTTTATAAAACAAAAAGATAAAAAGAGTTGAAAGACGTGGAAGTGGTGAGAGATGGAGAAAACAGAATCAGGGAGTGGCAAAAAAGAGAGGAGGCAGCCGGGCACGGTGGCTCACACCTGTAATCCCAGCACTTTGCGAGGCCAAGGTAGGTGGATCACTTGAGGTCAGGAGTTCAAGACCAGCCTGGCCAACATGGCGAAACCCCATTTCTATGAAAAATACAAATATTAGCTGGGGGTCATTGTGGGCACCTGTAATCCCAGCTGCTCGGGAGGCTGAGGCATAAGAATTACCTGCACCCAGGGGGGCAACAGAGAGAGACCCTGTCTCAAAACACACACACACACACACACACACACACACACACACACACACACAAGGAAGCATTAGCCTTGGGGCCACACACTCGTGTGTGTGTGTGGTGGGTTCCAGCCCGACACTGGGTGTCATTGTTTATACCTCCCAAGCTAGCTCAGTCCATGGGAGGCTTTCCAGGTGCCCCTAAAAGCTGACACCCACCTTCCGCCACTTCCCCATGCTACACTGCAGTTTCCTCATCTGTAAAATGGAGATGATAATGGCACCTACCTTGTAGGGTTGTTATAAGGATTAAAGGAGACAGTGCAAGTAAAGGCCTTGCCTAGTGAAGAGCCCAACCTTGGAGCAGAGCTGCTGGAATCATTATCCTGATTGGGATGTCCCTGCCCCGCCCTCCCCTTGCTCCTTGAACAAGGCCAAGGAAAGTGAAAAACAAAAATCATTCACTCTGCTAGCACCCTTCCCCTGGATGCCTGGGAATAGGTTTTGCCAATAAATGCATCTGCGTTGGAGTGGGTGCCTTGCTTGAATTCCCCTTCCCAGACTCGGGGGTCCCCAGGGTCTTGGCTGAACTAGGTGGGCATGGTGTATGTGGCATGGACCCAGCACAGGGCTGCATCTATGCAGCAAGGGGAGCCAGGCTGAAGTGTGACCCTGAGCCCTAGGGTGGGAGACCAGCACCCAGAGAGTGGGTGGGGAGCAAGAAATGAGATCACGCTCTGAGAATCCTTCCTCTCCTGAACAAGCAAGACCAGAGGGGGTGGGAGGAGGGGCTGTAAGGAGATCTTGCCCCCTGGCCCTTGTACTTATGGGCCCCCAATTCCCTTTGATGAGTGGGCCCCTTACCAGGAAGCTGGACAGCTCCTTTGACAGAGATAACCAGAGAAGAAAACAGAGGCCTAGAGAGGGCACTTGGTCACACAGGCATAGCATCTCCTGGCCAGCTTTCCACTTACCCTCACCCTGGTCCCCTTTGGAGGCTCTGTCCCCTCCCCCCAACCACTTCCAGCAATTCTAGGGTGCTGCTAGGCTAGCTGTCCCCACCCCAGGAGAGGAGGGTGCTGGGACTGGACATCTGCCCTCCCCAGACTTCCAACGAGAGGTCAGTGCAGGGCTGGGCCGTCTGGCTTCCTGCCCTGGATCTATATTTACTGCCTATCCCCAGCTGACCCCTCCCAGGCTGGCCAGGGCAGCTGCCAAAGGGCCCAAGAGCTAACTCTGCCAGGGGAGAGCCGTCCCACTGTCCACCTCCCACACACAGCAGCTGCAGATCCCACAGCACTGGCCCTGTCTCCACGGCTTGCCAGACCCCTATTCCCCACCTCCACGTACTCAGAAGTCAGGCTATGAGATAAGCCTGCAGAGAGCTCAGGCCTCAGGCGTCCCCAGGCCTCTGCCACAGGCAGGCTGTGCAGCCCAGGGCAAGCCAGTCCCATCTCTGGGCCTGCGTTTTCTGCTGGGCCAATTTTTCCTGGCAGATCCTTCCCATCAGCTGAGGGACGAACCAGCTCATCATATCTGGACTTAGGGAAAGAAGTGCTGCCTTGATATGAGGGACCACTTCCTGCCCCTGCCAAGGGTTAAGCACCCTCTCCATGTTTTTATCACAGTTCTGAAACTGTCCCTGGAGCTTGGGCAGCAGGGGAGGCTGGGACCCTGGCTGGAATCCTTAGGGCATCGTTAGTGGGGCTCTGGGACCCGCAGCAGCACCATTTCTAGGGAGCTTGCCAGAAATCCAGGAGCTCAGGCCCTGCCCCAGAGTTGAGAAATAAGAATCTGCATTTTAAACAGATCCCCAGGTGATGTCCAGCATGGGAAGCCAGGCCTTAGGAACAGAAGCGGGTGCAGGGCGAGGGTGTGCAGGCCTCAGGCTTCTGCTTGCCCATCCCACCCCTCTCACCCTTAGAGAAGATTGGGAGGCCTTCTGGAGGGAGTAGAGGGAGCTTGGGGTGGGGGCAGGGATTCAGGACAAAGAGGGAGAGGCTGGACCACAAGCTGCCTAATCCCCCTTGCACTGCACCTCAGACCCCGAACTGCTTGAGCCAGGAAGGCGTTAGGCAAATGTGGGGGACACAGGAATCCCCCCAGACTGACTTCCTGCCCGGCTGGAGGCCTCAAACCACCCCAACTTCCTGTACCTCACATGTACCCCCATCCCCCAACACACACACACACACACACACACACACAGTCTCTGGGTTTTTGGTTTTTTTTTTTTTTTTGAGACAGAGTTTCACTCTTGTCACCCAGGCTGGAGTGCAATGGCACAATCTCAGCTCACTGCAACCACCACCTCCAAGGTTCAAGCAATTTTCCTGCCTCAGCTTCCCTGGGACTACAGGAGCCACCTGCGCCCCCCCCCCCACCTCCCCCAGCACCACGCCTAGGTAATGTTTGTATTTTTAGTGGAGACGGGGTTTCGCCGTGTTGGCCAGGCTGGTCTTGAACTCCTGACCTCACGTGATCCACCCGCCTTGGCCTCCCAAAGTGTTGGGATTACAGGCATTAGCCACCACACCCAGCCAGTCTCTGGGTTTTAACTCCTGCTTACCCATTCAACTGTTTCGTGACAACCTCATCAATAAGAATGAACTGCTGTAATGAGGTTAACATTTGTGTGTCACCACAAAGTAATCCCACCCCAGTAAGGAAGTAAATCAACAGATTCAAAAAGCTCTGGACTTGAAGATAATTTAACAGGATTAACAGAAAGCTAGAAAGAGCCAAAATACTCAGAAATAGAACCGCAGTTAGTAAATTACCCTCCATCAATATAATGGACCACTAGGCTGACCTTAATAAGAATAATTCTGAGGAAGCTATTGGACCAGCTAAATGGCATCACATGACCCTGGGCCTTCGAAGCCAAGGTGTTTGGAACACCAGCTTTGGGATTCGTTTTTTTGTTTGGTTTTGTTTTGTAGAAATGAGGTTTCATTATGTGGCCTAGGCTGGTTTTAAATTCCTGGCCTCAAGCAATGGTCCCATCTTGCCCTTCCAAAGTGCTGGCTTTGTGATTTACTAATAGTAGGAGTTGGATAAACAACCTGATCTCTGAGGTTAAATGCATCTGTAAAATAGAGATAATGATACTTAGCTCACAATGTTAAGAGGATAAAATGATATCTTATATCCACAAGTCCTGGCCCAGTGCTGGCATTTTCGTAGGCAAAAATTGATAGTGATGTGTTCCTCCTGGTGACAGCCACATAGAAACATACACAGTAGGATGGACAGAAGTGAGGGTTCGAGGCTTAGACAGAAAAAGTTTAAATGCCACCATGGCAGAGTTATAGGAGGTATCACTTTATTTCTCTCCTTCTTGCGGACTTTAGGTGCAGAGGGTTAAATTAGTCATCCTCCTGAGGTCAGGGCAGGCTATCAACTGTTCTTCTTTCCTTCTTCCTTTTCTCATTCCATTCTTTTTTTCTTCCTCCTCTTTCTTTTGTGTTGGAGTCTTGCTCTGTCACCCAGGCTGGAGTGCAGTGGTGCAATCTCAGCTCACTGCAACCTCCGCCTCCTAGGTTTAAGCAATTCTCCTGCCTCAGCCTCCCAAGTAGCTGGGATTACAGGTGCCCACCACCATGCCCAGCTAATTTTTGAATTTTTTAGTAGAGATGGGGTTTCGCCATGTTGGCCAGACTGGTCTCGAACTCCTGACTGACCTCAAGTGATTCGCCTCCCTCAGACTCCCAAAGTGCTGGAATTACAGGCATGAGCCACCGCGCCCAACCTCCTCCTCTTTTGTCCTCATTCCCTACTCCTATTTTCTTCTCCCTCCACAGCAACCACTCTAACTTGTTTAATTTGTATCTTTTTTTGGGGGAGGGGGGACAGAGTTTTGCTCTTGTTACCCAGGCTGGAGTGCAATGGCGCGATCTCGGCTCACCGCAACCTCTGCCTCCTGGGTTCAGGCAATTCTCCTGCCTCAGCCTCCTGAGTAGCTGGGATTACAGGCACGTGCCACCATGCCCAGCTAATTTTTTGTATTTTTAGTAGAGACAGGGTTTCACCATGTTGACCAGGATGGTCTCAAGCTCTTGACCTCGTGATCCACCCGCCTCGGCCTCCCAAAGTGCTGGGATTACAGGCTTGAGCCACCGCGCCCGGCTTAATTTGTATCTTTTTATATAAATGCGTTCTTCAAAATACGTGTTGTTTCAAATTTTGTTATAAAAATTTTAGTATATACACAAAAGTAGAGAATGCATCCCAATATACTCAGCTGTCAAATTCAGAAATTATCATGGGCATGGTGACTCATGCCTGTAATCCCAGCACTGTGGGAGGCTGAGGAGGGAGGATCACTTAAGCCCAGGAGTTCAAGGCTGCAATGAGCTAAGATCATTCCACTGCAATGTCAGGCTGGGCAGCAGAGTCAAAACTTGTTCTCTTTAAAAAATAATAAAATAGGTCAGGTGAGGTGACTCACACCTGTAGTCCCAGCACTTTGGGAGGCCGAGGCAGGAGGATAACTTGAGGTTAGGAATTCAAGGCCACCCTGGCCAAAACGGCAAAACGCCATCTCTACTAAAAAATACAGGTTGGGTGCGGTGGCTCACACCTGTAATACCAGCACTTTCGGAGGCTGAGGTGGGCGGATTACAAGGTCAAGGGATC